CGCACCACGCTCACACACAGCGCACACACATACGTTGCACGCGCCACACTAGAGCGCACAGCGCGCACACACATAGTTGCACGCGCACACAGCAGGCGCACCACGCTCACAAAACAGCGCACACACATAGTGCACGCGCACCCACATAGTGCACCGCGCACACACAGCGCCCACACGCGCACAACATAGGGCCAACGGGCTCACACACATAGGGCACGCTCAAAGCGTTTCTTCGCCTGCTCGGACTTCCCTCGTATGTTTAACTGATAAATCGCTTCTGCTGTTTAACCGGCATCCGTGGCAGGGTGACGCCTCGGTCACCTGACCTGTTGCTACGTTTTTGTTGCAAAACGAAGCAATCCCTCGAACGACTAATCTAGAACGTAGGCGATCCGCGCTAAACAGGATCTAGACTTCGGGCTCTCCCCAAGTCCGCTAACCTCGGGCGGCCACGAGATTCTCTTTTTGTACTTTAAGTGGCCTGCTCGCACGCGCCCAGCGAGTCAGCGACACGCGGGTCAGTCTACGGCAGTTTGCTCATTAGTAGCGCCGGCCGGCCGCGGCGCGCCCTCTACTCTCTCCTCTCTCTCTCTGCTCTTTCGTCATCTGTCTCTTTGACATCTCGCGCTCACATATACTATTCAATATATAGCCAACAGGTCGCGTGCGACAGCATAGGGAATTAGAGGCAGTCCGTTCTTTCTCTCTCTCTCTTCTCTCTTCTCTCTCTCTCTCTCTCTCTCCTTTCTCTCGTCTCTCTCTCTCTCTCATCTTTCTCTCTTCCTCTCTCTCTCTCCTCTCGTCTCTCCTCTGCTCTGCTTCTCTCTCTCTCTCTCTCTCTCTTCTCTCTTTCTCTCTTCTTCGTGTTTCTACTCCTACTCTCTCATCTCCTCGTCTCTCTCTCTCTCTCTCTCTTCTCTCTCCTCTCTCTCTCTCTGTCTCCTCTCTCTCTCTCTCTCTCTCCTCTTCTCTCTCGCTCTCTCTCTGCTCTCTCTCTCTCATCTGCTCGCTCTCTCTCTCTCTCTCTCTCCTTCTCTCTCTCTTCTCTCTCTCTCTCTCTCTCTCTCTCTGTCTCTCTGTCTCTCTCTCTCTTCTCTCTCTCTCATCTCTTCTCTCTCTCTCTCTCTCCCCTCTCTTCTCTCTCTCTCTCTCTCTCTCTCTCTCTCTCTCTCTGCTGCTCTCTCTCTCTCTGTTCTTTCATCTGTTCTCCTTTGACATCTTCGCGCCTCACTATATAATATAATATATAGCAGAACCAAGAGGCAAATTGTGTGTGCATAGTGAGTCGGTATACTGAGCAAATTAAGAGCGGAAATTGTGACGAATAACTGCATGGTTAGTAGAAGACAGTGTGTCGAGTAGTAAATTCGTAGTAGTATCGAGTAGTAAATCGATAGTAATTAGTAAACGGCTAGCGCTGATTTTTTTTCCTAGGATAATCAAGAACATAGGGCCTTCTAGTGAGTGCTGCATGTGGATTGCAATACAAATCACGTGCCTCAAATTCCTGTTTTATGGTGGCATTGTGACCCTAAACCCTATAAAAAAACATATATAAAAATGAAATTTTTAAATTGTTGAAAAATTATTGTTGTTCATTAAATTCGCTCTGTAAATAAATCAATCGCTAAATATTTTGCTGTAATTAGCGAAAAAATTGTTAAATGGATAAAGATTAGAAGAAATACAGAAAACACGAAAATAATTAAAAGAAACAAGATGGGATTCGCATCATCGATCCAACGACTTTCAGCCGTGACGTTCCGTGCCTCTATGTGCTATGAATATGCACGACACTGTGACGTCATGAGCCGGACTAAAACAAAGCCTCAACCAATTATGGCAGCGCTCACTAGCAGCCCTATCACAGGCACTTTTGTGAACGCTCTCAATAAAAAAAAATAATGGCTAAATAAACACGAATGTCAGGTCTTAAAGGCCATAATAGCGCCATGGCATTATACAAAGTTGAACGAATGCTACAGTAACTTGCACCTTCTGTAGTTAATTAAGCTACCATACCTTGATAGTCAAACGCGTATTAGTTTGGTCCATATTACTGCCCTAATTACTAAGAAATGTCTAATTGAAATCCGTAAAATCTGGTAATCTGCAGCCAACAGCTAAAATTGGTTGGCCAAAGCCAAAATAGCCTCGAAATTCGCGTTCTTAGGCAAACGTCACATGACACTGCTACGTTGGTGTCTTTAGCAGAGAATTTGTTGTCCGCGGGATGCTTATATACGCGAATGATGCTAGTAGGAACTGTAATCTCTGGGTGTATTTTCGTACTTGAGGGCACAAGTAAATAATCGTGGGCTGCTAGATTGAACGGAGTACTACCCACATGCTCTTCAAATTTCAGACCACAGGTTGTATTCGTTTGACCAGATTATACGTAAATACGCGTAGTGCCGTCTGCTTTCCAATGTTTAGTCTGTGGCGCCGTGGCTTAGTCGCGCATCTCCCATAGCCGTTGGCCCCCAACACAGCCTACTTAATGTATCACGAGCGCTCCGTGATTCGTACGATGAGATTCCCACGCTTCATATCAATTCAGAGCTAACTGTTAGTATACAGTTCCGCGTACTGTACTATCCTAGCATTGCGTACGCCCGAGCGAAACATGCAGTCGGCGTCTGTGGCGTTTTCTGCATGCCGTTGCGAAAATGTCCGTGGACTATAAATCTGTATCCACACCCGTTTCGGAAGTATGGCGGTTGTCGAAACTGTAAACAGTCAGTCAACGATTTCGCTGGCACTATGCGGATTTCATATTAGACATTCTTAGTTACACAGCAGTGGTATGGACAAAACTAATACGCCGTTTGGCTATTAAGGTAATTACTTATTAACTACACTAAGGGTCTGCCAGTTACTCTAGCATCGTAAAATTGCATAATCGCATGCCTATTATGCCTTTAATGGTTCTCTACTCTATTTCGCCTATAATCACTGTAAATGCCGCGTTCAACATGCGGCATCTGCCAACCACACAAGTACACGAACGCCCACGCCCGCGCTCGTGCTGGTGCACATTACAACATGAATAAGAGAGTTCTTATTCATCTCTTATTCATGTTGTTTGTTCACGCAGCACAGCGCGGGCGGGCGTTCGGTGTACTTGTGTGTTGCAGATGAGCATTTGACCGGCATTTACAGGTGATTATAGGCGAAATAGAGTAGAGAAACATTAAGACTTTGGTAGGCCTACATTTCGTGTTTATTTACCTTTTTTTTATTGAGGCGTTCCAAGTGCCTGTGAGCCCTATGCCTATGTTCTTGATTATCCTAGGGGTAAAAATCACGCAAACGGCTAATTATAGCCATAGGAGGTAAATCAGTAGATACAATAATGTACAATGATACAAAATCAGAGACAAGAGAAATAGCCGCAAAGCAAACTCGTAAAACCTGCATGCATCTATTACCGTACTATAGCAGCCTAGCTATGCTAGGCGCAAGAAGTATTCGTGGCCACAACTAATGTACATTAATTATCAGCTGCTCGGCAGGCCGCCATGCTTCATTTTGTGCTCGCAGCGCCACCTGTAGCCTCGTTCGGTTAAAAATGTAGTTAATAATAAAATGGGTGTGGAGCTGTTGATGCCATAAAAACACGTAACTCTCTATGTTCGCTATGTGCATATATGTTCTCTTCTGTCTCTATACATTTCTTAAATGCTTCGTTGAGAAAAAAACAGATTCATAAAAAAAGCAGGAGTGTAGAACGAAAGAATGACCAGAAACGATGATAATATACATTTTTTGACCGATTACATTATTTATATAATGCAGAAATTGTAATTTCTGTTGCGACTCAAAACAAACTTGAAAAATACACTGATGCTGGCGATTTAATAGATTCAAGTGAGATTCATCACTACGAGAGAATATTGGTTGAAATTAACTGAATTCAGAAGCTGAATGAGAATGTATTGGTGCGATGAAAAGCAATCATGGCAAGGGACGGCAAAAAAAGGAAAAAAAGAAGCAATAACGTCTCGTGTACAGCTGACGCAAAGTACTAGGACCTTTTATTTTGTTCGCCTCATAATGCACCTAAATTATAATCATGGGCCCATTTTCAGAATCGCAACTAATCATGACGTCACGAGCCCTAAAGGCGTCACGCGTCTTCTGCACGCGAAGTGACGTTGTGCAAACGGTTACGACGTTTTACGCTCGCGACGACATAACCACTCGCGACGTTACTGACGACGGGGCGCCTGCATAATACTCATCTTTGGAGACAAACTGACCGTCAAGAAAATAAATCCTCCTTAAACAAATCATACAACAGCTCATCATCTACACTGTAGAGTTCGCGCCTCTTACACATGTAAAATAGCTAACAGCGAAAAAACACACAGACTAAATACACACGATTCCGCACACGCGACGACACAAATTCATGCACTTCCGCTCAAACGCATTATGAATCGCCGTAGCTCTCTGCGCACGCGTGCGCCGCCTACATACGTATACGCGGCGCGCTCGGCTCGCACGAGAATGCGGCGAGCGTGGCGCCACCTACAGGGAATAATTTCATCATTCTGACAGACGCTTCGCCGTCCGCCCCGTAGAGGGCGCCGCTCGCTCACGCCTCGCGACAAGCGTCATTAGAGGGGACGCCGGCAGTTCGGCGGCGGCGCCACCTATCTCGCCCCGTCGGATGCCGAACGCCGCGCCGCGCGAAATTTGCACGCAACGTAGAAAAAACAACAACAGAAATGCGAGGCGGCGCGATATTCCAGCTAAACCGAAATCCATCAGCGAGATCGCGAGTTCCGGCGTCGCCGCCAGGGGGCGCCGCGGCGAGATTTCTCCGACCGCCCGCGCAGCGATCCCTCGCGACGTCGCCCGACCCCGCGTCTCGCGTCATTCGCGCGGGAGAGACCCCTTCCTTCCTTCCCTCTCTCCCGCGCGCTCCCCAGTCTGCCCGCGCGTCCCTCCCCACCCCGCGTCGACGACGACGACGACGACGACGTCCCCCCACCCCTCCCCCGCAACGACGACAACACGGCGAGAAACATCGCGTGGCGCCCCCTGCGTGGCCGAAACTCTCGCCGCCCCGATCGAGAAATCGCGGGCGTGCGAGGGGGCAGCACCGCTTGTTTCACGGTCGGCCGCACGGCGAGGGCGATTGGCTCCTCCCGAGCGTCGGCCATTGATCTGCACGCGCGGCGAAACCCTCCGTGATAGCGGTCGTTTCTCCGCAGACGCCGACCTCCACAGAAAGGCCGGCCGCCTGCTCGTACAGGCCACGTCTAACATGACTCGCCTCTCCCATAAGTCACATAGCGAAAGCACCTCTGCAGGAAGGCCACCTTTCCATAAAGGCCACTTCTGGCATATCCCCTCTATGACTGGGCCAGCCTTATATAGAAGGCGAGAGGGATTGCATGCAGACCAGTGGCTTCGGCCACGTCGGTTTGCGACGAATGCACCGGGCGTTCTGACAGCGTGGTCGACCAGGGAAGCCGGGTCGCCGGACGCCGCCATCGCAAGGTCACCATCGCAAGGTCATCGTCAAGGTCGTCGCCGTCGTCGTCTCCGCTCGCACGGAGGGAGGGAACGCGAGTTAGTTCATCCGGAGACAACATGCGAGACAAAAATACACACGTGCACACACACACACGTTATTTACAGCGACGCGAGGACAAGCGACGGCAGAGACGGCGAGGCGTCACGCGTCTCGCCTCGAAACGTCTCCCGCGGCGACGAGGCGCCTCCCGCGGCCCTCGAGCGGCGGCGTCGCGCGAGCCGCATTGTTCGCGGCGCCGCCTGTGGGCGAGTAGTGCGCCTGAAAGCCGACGGCACGAAGCGCAAAACGAAAAAAGGATGGCAAGAAATATATCACAACACAGAAGCTCCTTGCCGGCTCCATGTCCCCCCCCCTCCACCCCCGCACGCACGCACGCACGCACGAGTTCAGCTCTGCCACCGACACACAAGGAGACACCTCGGTGGATTTCCGATCCGGCAGTAGGAAAACTCTTCCGCGTACTCCGCGTCGGTTATTCCGCCGACGATCCACCGCGACGACTGCTTTCATTACACGATTGTCCGTTGTGCGCAAAATCTTGTGTCCGTCGAGTGCACTAGGGGGCGCCGCGATTCGCCAATCGCGACTCGGGCGAGCGGGCGCCGCACACGCGCCGCGATCGAAATAATACTTTGCGTACCGCGGCTGGAAGCCTGCACTCGATATAAACGCGTCGACGATGAAGATCGGCGGAGATCCACCGCCGGCGATGTCGTCCTCCCCCGCGCGGCGTCACGTCAGACGCGCGCATGACGGTAGAAAGACGAGCGGCGGCGGCGGTCCAATAGCAGGCGGCGGTGCAGACGCTCGCACGGTCCTCCCCCGCGCGGCATCACGTCAGACGCCTGTGACGGTAGAAAGACGAGCGGCGGCGGCGGTCCAATAGCAGGCGGCGGTGCAGACGCTCGCACGGTCCTCCCCCGCGCGGCATCACATCAGACGCGCGCGCGACGGTAGAAAGACGAGCGGCGGCGGGGGTGGCGACGGGGAGCGAGCGGTGATCATCAGGCAGGGTACTCGGTGCTCCACGACGCGACGTACTTGGGACAGGGGAACGGCCACGAGTACTGCTTCGGCAGCGGCCCGCCGACGTTGCGCTCGAACCAGACGAAGATCGGGAACCAGAAGTTGCGCGTCAGGTAGTTGGACGGCGTCTGCTTCTGCTGGCGGCAGAGAGAAGGAAGAGAACGAGCGATTAGTATGCAGTATGTAAGCAATATGATTGTACACAACAAGAGTGAGACAGGTAGATAAGAGCAAGATGGGTAGAGAGAGAGAGAGACAGCAAGAGAGAGAGAGAGAGAGAGAGAGAGAGAGAGAGAGAGAGAGAGAGAGCAAGAAAGATAGTGATATATATATATATATATCAGAAGTAGATAATAGGGAAAGAGTATGACTTCAATAAACAAGGGAAATTCGTCATTTACTAGCCTTAGAATACCTACGATTTACTACGCGTAACTCAACCAACTTGAGCATTGTGCGAAATCGTTTCCTTGTATACACCTGCAATCCGGAGATAGACTAAAACGTTCGACACGATTTTCCATTCTGTTGCCAGCAAACTCGATGTGTTAACCGCCTAACTCGAAACAAAAGACAGCTACTAACGACTCTTGCGCCCTCGGCAATGTGGTGTGGCTCGCTGAGCTAACCTTTGACCTATTTACAGCTGCCTTTTGTTTCGAGTTAGGTGGTTAACACATCGAGTTTGCTGGCAGCAGAATGGAAAATCGTGTCGTACGGTTTAGTCTGTATCTCCGGATTGCGGATGTATACGAGGAAACGATTTCTCACGATGCTAGGGGAATGTACTGTGTACGATTTGAGCTCAAGTTGGTCGAGTTACGCAAAGTAAATCGTAGGTATTCTAAGGCTAGTAAATGACGAATTTCCCTTGTTTATTGACGTCACACTCCTTCCCTATTATCTACTCCTGAT